CCCTACACCACGCTTCCCTGCATTCTAAAAACAAAGTTGTTTTTCTTTAGAATTTAACTGACTATTCGGGATCATAAACTAGATACCATTCTACTATATAGTCTGTCAGGTAGAGGAAATACAATGCGCTGGAGTTTACTGTAAGCGGACAGGGTGTTCTTCTGGGGGATGCAGTTTGGAGATGCTCTGAGGGCGAGGTGGCTTCTCCCCCCGGAGCAGCGCGGTGTTACGGTCCCCGTCTCGCCCGCAGGTGAGCGAGATGGAGGTGAACGGGCAGTTTGAGTCGGTGTGCGAGTCGGTGTTCAGCGAGCTGGAGTCACAGGCAGTGGAGGCCCTGGACCTGCCGATGCCCGGCTGCTTCCGCATGCGGAGCCACAGCTACGTGCGCGCCATCGAGAAGGGCTGCTCGCAGGACGACGAGTGCGTGTCGCTGAGGTCTTCCTCCCCGCCGCGTACCACCACTACCGTGAGGACCATCCAGAGCAGCACGGGTGAGTGGGCAGAGCTGGCCCCGCGCCCGGGGGGCGGCACGACTGCCCCCAGACACTGCACGTGGTCCCCTCGCTGTTATCACACGGTCACCCTTCACCAAACCCCACCCACAGCCCTCGAGGCAGCGCGTCTGCTTCCCTGCCCGCCGCTATCCCCAGCCTCCTCCGGCCACATCCACGCACCCACTCCTTCCTCCATCTCCATCTCTGGTATCAACAGAGGAGACTGCAACTGTGGGACCAAGAGGGATGGCACAGGGGGAAGATCTTCCCAAAACACCCACACAACATCCTAGGACCAGCACACTCATCCCAGCCAACTCCTACTCTCCATCATCAGGCCCTGACTTTTAGGGGTGTGACCCCTCCAGGAATCAGACACCCTGACTGTTGAGCGTCACAGAGTTGGAAAGCTTTTTAAATTCCAAGATATCCACAAAATGACTCTCCCAAAAGACCTGAAGCACCACTGTGAGAAAATAAGAAACGGATGATGCAGGAATATTGATTGCACACTTTATGAGTTTTCTTTCCTTATAACAGAAGGCAGATTCACTTCATCATTTTAAAACCTCCTAACTATACGCATACAGAACCTCCTTTTCCCTCTAAACTGAATTCAGGTTTATGCTGCTACACTGTCTTTTGATCTGATTTTAGTCAGAGAGGCACAGAAGAGCTTAACTGGTTTCCATGACACTGGACCTACATAGGAACATAGCCGTGGATTGTGTGTGACAGTGTACGTGTGTTTTTTGGGTTTGGGGGTGCTTTTTTTTTTTTTAATAACATTTAGGTCCAAGAAGAAAATCCCCTCCGTAGTTAACCAGTCTTAACTTTGATGGAATTCAGCATTACTCCAATAAAGACTAATTCAACAAAAAGATCATCAAGTCAAGAGTCAAGATAAATAAAGATGAATTAATTAGAAGGAAGAGTCTGTGCTAGACTATTGTATTGTTCAGTTTTTGTTCTAGGTGACTCAAATGTAATTATCATTCAGCCTAGAACTTTTGCAGGCTTGAGAATTAATAGGTTCTCAAACCTGAATTAAAATCCTACTAACTAGAAAGATAGGGTTGAGATAGAATTTGCAAATAACCATTAGATAGGACCAATGCAAATTGGGATCTCAGGATTAGGGAAAAGATGCTTCTAGACATTAACCTGGCTCAGCAGCCCCTCCAGAGCCCAGCAGCTCTGGCCCTGGCTGGCTGTCTCCCACCAGAGATGGGGGGG